CTCAGTGGCATTCAGTCTGTCCCACAGAAAGCCGCAGCCGTGCTCATCATCCTCGCCACATTGGCTCCCCGAACCACGTCCTGTTAAGTGCCAATTCTCCTTCCAAAACAGACACCCCCCACAGCTTTGAAATGTAAAACAGACTCCCTCCTCTTCGCCCATAGGCATCTGAGCACGCCATCGTAGACTGAGATGCAAATGCTAATTACCAAGGCAACGAGGTCGCTGATCAAGTCGAGAGTGACGACTGGAGGGTGTTTAATCTCGGGGAGCGTGGACACCCCTGGCCCGCCTCCTCTCCCCTCCCCCACCCGACAGCTGCACATTAAGCCCCCGGTTTATAAGCCCAATTATCTGGTAATAGCTAGGACCCAGCAGGGGTTGAGCGACTTGCCTGTGATTTGACTGCTGAAGAGCAGATGGCAGGCCTCAATTGAGCACGCTCCATAGTTAATGTCCCGCCTTCTTGGACAGCTCCCCCCCCCCGCCCACCCCACCGTGCTTTTAACAGACGCTGGGCAAATCTTTGCCTTTAGCTGGAAAGGGAGAAAACAGTCATTTGAACTAATGTTGAGACGAGTTATTCTTATGAAAAACCTCAACAAGCTCACTTCTCATGTTCGAGAATTATACCATTCACGCCAAGTGAATATTGTTCCTACTTCCATATTTCAGATAACGAGATGAAAAGTACGTTTTACTTATTTAGCAGATTTCATCCAAAGTGGCAATTAGGAATTAGTGGCCTTGCTCAAGAGCCCAACAGTAGCATCATTCTGCCAACCCTGGGATTCGAACCAGCAACCTTCTGATCGCCCATACAGCAGCCTAATGCACCAAACCATACAGCACTTCCCATCGCAGCTGCAGGAATGAATTTCCATAGGAGGTTTTAGCAGATTAATCACATTTCTTTTGGCTTTCAGAAGAGGAAACATTGACTTGCAAGTTCCTCTTCAGCCGTGTGAAATGTTTATGTTTGCTGCGGCTTGTAAACACGGCTGAGATGCAATTCCGGCCTGCATGTCCGACGCACCTCGATTGCTACGGAATCGCGGCCTGCGGGATCGTTCTTCCCTACATCCTCTGGGAACGGTGGTCGGCGTGATACACAGACCCTTGGGGGCAGCCACACAACCCCCTCCTCCCAGAAAAGAAGTTAAAGAGTAAGGAGAGACGTACACTGGAAATCCCACTGGGATGGGAACTTGAAAAACTGGACTTAAAATCCATACATCACAGATATACGCATGTATATGATTTGTTATATTTTATGTCACACAGTTTTATGCGTTTCTTCCAATTTCAAGTGGTTTGTTCTGATTACACCAACGTCCTTCAAAGTTTGAATGACGCTGACATGAGCTTGGGTCACCGGTATCCTACCACGGGGGGGATGGGGTCCCCTGCCTGTGACTTGCGCTGCTTGCTTGATCAGCTCCAGCAACCCCCCCCCCAACCTTGACCTAGACAGGATAGAGGATGGATTGATGGATGGATGGATAAATGGATGGAATGCCCAGTTAGTTTCAGCATAACCTACATCATAAAAAGATATTCGAATCACAAATGCACTGCGGTATTAAAGTCGTCCCCTCCCATTGAAGCAGTTATGGGAACACTGACAGCTGACACACTGTTCCCCCCCCCCACCCCGACACGATTGGTGGGAGGAGTCGGGTGGGGTGTGGCGGGGGGGGTGGCCGTACCCCAACCCCTCAGACTCAGACTGGCCTTTGCGCCTGTCGCAGATTCCACAGCCATGTGCCCCCGCCCCGCAGCTGTCGCCCCCCCCCCGCCCCATCAGCTCAAACCTTCGACTCCACACACGCCCACAGCACAGTAAGCCTCAGCTGAGCCCCAGAGCCAGACGATGAGTCATGTTACCGGTCATCATGCTCCTTTCAGTACAAGAGGGTCCATCTTCAATAAAGACAAATAATACAAACAGTAAAGGAGTGAATCTGGTTTAAAAATACCTGCATTAATCCATATCGATAAGGAAATTCATCGGGTACTTCCAGTACATTACTTTAGGGCCGTTCTGGGTTAATGCATGCCAGCATCATCGGCTCTGTGAGCCACGGCAGGTGGGGGGTGGGGTTGAGTGCTATGAGGCAGCGCAGGCCTGTTGGGGGCGCTAGAACTTTCACTCTTTTCAAGGTCACCGGAGTTAATTCGTCCTTCAGCCTGCGCCAGACAGGAGCCCTCCCAAATCCCACAAATCCCTGATCGCTGGACTCGCTTTAATCCCCGGGGACTGACAGACAGCCAGCTAGCGCCTCCCACTGGTACGGGGCCTTACAGCACCCAAAAACACCACAGGTGTAACATACCAGATATCAAACAGACTTTGGCTCCGAGATTAAAGGTCGCTGTTCATGTCCACTTCATTTTAGTGTCATGCCCCGATCACATACAGGCTATTCTCGTGTTTTTTTTATTACTATTTCTTAAAATTTTGTTCTGGTTTTCTGTATGTTGTCATACTACACCACACCCTGACACCTACAGAAGGTCAGAAGGTGCCACCGTGGACTGACTTCATTGCCCTTTTCCCTGTGCCCAACTAAAGGTCAAAGGTCAGAGTCCCCATGTGACCCCGCCCCCAGGTCTGACACCATTGATTAGCACATGTGGAGTTCAAAGGGGCGGAGCCAGGCAGTTAAAATGAAAATGAGGTTCCCGAACGTTGTCTCTGAATTTCCAGGTGGGTAAAGTTCACAGAGAGGACAATGCCATTGTTTCCCCTGCATAAAAACCATGGCCCCCCAATGACCCAGAAATAAGTGCACAATTTATTCTACCCTTAATATTAACATCATTAAAGCTGTTTATATTTACTAGTCACCAGGCAGTACCTCTGTGCTCAACTACTGGATACAGAATCCCATTTTAGTTTAACATGCTAACATAATGGCCCAGTCCGGAACAGCCCCCATGGGTCGATACCAAAGACGAACGGCCACGGGGCTCCGTTGTGTGTCCTTAAACACGTCAGCTATAAATAAGAGGCTCAATCCATTCCAGCTGGGCCGTAAAATAAAACATTCTGTGTAGGATGTATTTTGGCCTTAAAGCAGAAATACGGGCATTTAACAAAAGGCGAATTCGATATCTAAAAATTCAGTAATTCAGTAAGGTTTGTTTGCAAAAAAAATACTAATCAGAACATGATGACTATGAAATGTTTTAGGATGGTTATTTAATTAAGTATATAAATCTTTATGAAGCTGTTTAATGAAACGAGGCAACAGAAACTCCACTGGGATTTGCAGGCTTGTTGTTTGTACTTGATGTGGGACGGGTTAGGTCGCCGGATCGTATCTACAACCCGACCTTAGTCCCAGGTCCTCGATCAGTGAGAGAGCGACTCGGGCTCTGTGCCTGGACGGACACAGATAATCAGGTTCATGACTCATCACTTGGGCTACACTGAGGAGATTCTGTCTGACGGGAAGTGAGACAGTCGAGGTCTCAGCCAAAAGGCGCAAAATTAATGCAGGACTTTACATGCTACATGCAGATAAATCAGAAAGATACTTGTGTCTATTGGAATTTAATATCCTTCCAAGGATATCCAAATGTGAAATATACTTCACATTTGTAGCTTGTATAAGCTTTTCGAAGCTCCTACAACACCTTGTCCTGACTTTGTTGAGCACTTGACCCCCACGGGTGAGCTTGCATCATATGCAGGCATTTCATGAAGCTTCCAGAAAACAAATAATGTCTTCGTGGATGCTAAAAGACCCATCAGTGACAGAGAGGCTAACCTTTGGTCTACAAGCGTGCTACCGTGAATGTACCGCCTGACAAGTTGCATCAAGGGCATCGAGTTTCTAAAAATAACCTACCCAGATAAACAAATGGGGGGGGGGGGGGGCATTAATTGGATTTGTGAGCCACCCAGCCGATGTGAACCAGCAATGCGGATTCTCCGAGAAATACCTGGAATGCTAAATGTCAAAAAAAGCCGGTCCACATTTTGCAAGTTTGCTTTAAGCTGTTGACACACATGGGGAGGCGTAACAGTAAAAATTGTGCATTAATTACATTAGAACACCCCATCCCTGGTGTCCTCGACAGAGTGTTACCAGGACCATCATCTCACTTTGGCCGAATCCTATTAAGAACAATCCCCTCTGTTGACTCACGCCCAACGTGCGTTGGGGTTCAGCTAGCTTCTGATCAGGACAGCATCGGCATAACCAGCAAAATAACCACAGCACAGCACACGCGGATGACCGCCTGTTAAATACCGCGTTCATCAGGTCCGTTATCAATCTGGAGGCCAACACACAGACCTGACAGACCGAAGCACTGGGACACGGCAGAGTGCGATACAGACATCTTGCCTAAGAGATCAAATGTTGATGCAAGACTCAGAATATGGTTACAATGAAACAGATCCCATATTGACAGCATTAGCAAATGCCGTTACGAGTTCTCAGTTGTGTTTCACATTTACACTTATTTATTTAGCAGGTGCGTTCATCCAAAATGGAATGTGCAACTGAAGAGCAAATTTCCAAAGCTCACTCAGTCCATTTCTTGATGTTTTTAAGATTAGACCGCCAACAACCTAAAGTCAGGCTTCCTCATCGTATGTTACAGTACTGGGAACCAAAACTCGCTTAATCCTCATGCAATCCGACAAAAAAAAAAACTCCAGTAGTTTCCAAAATTCACTAAGTCCACAGACATGGTACTTACTTTTCAACATATCCCATCCACATATTCCGTGGACTGAGTGAGTTTTGGAAATTTGCTCTTTGGTTGGGAAAGCAGGATCGGCCAGTCCCTGGGGCAACTGGAGTTAAGGGCCTTGCTCAAGGGCTCAACGATTACTCAAACACACTGCCAACTACGCCAATGAAGTGACTATATCTTCATAAAATAGATCCAAGCTATTGGTGACGCTTCTCAAAGCTGAAAGGGGTAGTTTCCTGGTCACGATCTACCTGCTACACGTTCCTATGCGACACAACAGATCTCACCTGCTTTCCCTCAAGCGTGTAGAGTCTCTTCACCGTCCCCGAGTCCAGCTTAATGGCGTCGGTGATGTCGGTGAGCACCTGCTCGAAGGAGTGGGCGGTCTTCTTGTTGAGCAGGATGCGCACGGCTTTGCGGGGCTTGACGCCGCCGCGAATCACGGTCACCAGCTTGGGTTTGATGAAGTCCTTGCCCTCGCGCTGCTCTCCCCGTTGCAAGCTCAGGGAGGAGGGTGAACGGGCCACCGCCGCCGTCGCCTTCACATTCACTGACCAGTTTGGGTTGACGTTCTTGGTGTAGTCCACCTTGCGGTAGGGCTCGTTGGAGGCGCATACGTAGCTCTCGCCTGTGGGTGAGGGTGGTGGAGAAGGAGGAACGTCACGGTTTGTTGGCAAGAGAAGGGTCAAAGGTTCCCAAGAGGGATTCGAAGGTTCAACTGAGAGGGTCCTTTTCATGTAAACAGCATGACACATCTCTGATGATGAAGCACTAAACTCAGTGTCCAGTCACACAGTGGCTGTAGCAAACCTACCGTTTTGCGGTGCCAAATACGTCAACTTTCTCAACTATTACCGCTAGCTCAGGAAGCTCAGGAAGAGTACGTATAACAGGTTTTTTTTAACTTGGTGACTTCTCAGGTGATTTCTCTTTAAGTTATTCAGTAGCATGCCTAGACTGATGTACACAGATCTGTGTTTGTTCAGCTATTACTGGGCCCCAAGTGGAGTGGATCTTCAGCACTCTATCTTTAAGACCTGGAAGATGGCACCAACTGCATTATGTAAGAATGATCTGACCTTGCGTTTGGGGAGCAGCTTGATGCTTCAGTGACAGCAAACACCTCCAGTGCTTGAATTTAAACCCTTTAGGTATCCATAGGGTTTGGATGGTGTTACAGACGGGTTGACCATGACCCAAATAGACATGTTGGTTTCTTTTCCCTTGAAGACCTCAAAGAGTTATGTAACCTGTTGATTTGAAGGGGATTATAACCCAGCGTTGGGGAGAATGACCATCTCAGTGGTTTGCTCCCAACAGCCAGGAGATTTGTGCAGGATGAAAGAGCCCAAACATACAGACAGTGGCATCAAACTCCTAGGGAACCTCATCCCCGTCATTGAAATCCTTTTGGGGGCATTGAGAGCTTGGCCCCATTTGTTCTGGGCCGTGCCGCATTCCAGAGCGGCAACGTCAGACTGGGCCCAGGCAGAATAATATTTGGTGTAGCTGAGACAGAGTCCCTCGGGTTTCAGAAACAAAGTGTCATGAGGAGGCTTTTGTCCCCGCAGGTTGGCAAGCGGAACAGCAGACCACCAAGAATGAGCCAGCTAGACGACCCTCTTGTCCGCTCAACTGTGTTCACCTGACGGAGAGAGCCCGGTTGCTAAGGAGACGGCCCCATCGGGGCGCTGCGTCTAGGGTAATGTAAGGTAACATTACGAAGACAGTTAGCCTGCCGCAGTTGTGGTGCAAATCAGCATTGCACTGGGGGCCAGCTCTGCTCTGTTACCCATAACACCCCCCCCCAACAATGTCCTACAATTGCTGCTTGGCCCCACAGCAACAATCAAGAACTTATCCATATTCAGATGGTAACTGACTCTTATGGGAAAGTCTATCATGAAATACCTTTGTTAAGCAAGTCAATGCGAATTGTGAACTGAAGACTTTATGAAGTGTCTCTCGGTCGTATTGGCAAATGCACTGTAATATGAGCCACCCGACCAGAGCACAAAATCCGACAGGGTGGTAAAACAGCACGACGGTAGCAAGTCCATCCACGTTTTACGGGCTCTGCGTCAGGTCTGCGTTGTTTCTCTGGGCCATGTGCAGAGCTGTCCGGGGTGCTGAATCGAACCTGTGACCCCATGGACGTACCAAAGCCCCTTCGAAAACTAAACACAAACACGCGGGTCTTAGTGAGTGCGTCACTGAATCCCCTTATTTAAACACCAGCAAAAAAACAAAATCTTAGGCTACCTGAAACAGAAACTGCCGCTTGCGAGTCATCCTGGTAATCGTTTGGTGCTCGGGGCAGATTAGCGCTAACTAAGACATCAGAACCGTGACTGACAGGCAGAGAACAGACACAGATATGGCCCGCAGGGCGAGTCCAGGCTTGACCTGTCCCCATTGTGGCACCTCCATAAAAAAACAGCACATGCACACACCCAGAAAGGGGTCTGACCTTATTCCAAGAAAATAATGACTGGGAGCATTTTATACATGGAGATGAAAGAAACTACGAGGCCAAGGGGGGAGGGGGGGTCACAAGCGTACCCGTCAATCCTGCTGCACCATAAACCTTTTTAATTACCCCCTGCCCCGCCCTAGAGAGAGCTGTCAGTCTTATTAAATCCACATTCACAAAAAAGATTAAGTCGAATGTTTGCTGTGTGTTAAAGGCAGGCCAATAGCTAACGAACCACCAATTAATAAAATAAGATCCAGCTGGGGAGATGCACCCCTCCCTTTTTCCTGTCCGCACCCAGTACTAAGGAAGGGCATGTTTTGGCTGGGGGCACAACGACGCAGGTAGTGCAACAGCCAGGGACCGGGTTCGAGTGCCGTTAACGAGGCCGCTATCGACGCCGCACTCTCCTGCGTCCGGAGCCCCTCTCAGCTGCGGCAGTAGACGCCCTTGAGATGCAGTGGCCTCCATTCAGGCACCTTTAAATAAATCTAGATCCGGTCTCCCAGGATGCTTTGCTCAGAAGAGACTGAAAACGGGTCAGAGATTTAACTCTGCTGTTAAATCCGCGAATGTGGGACGGTGTCACCGATCTTCGGCTCTCTGCTTACTTCTTTAAAGTGAATCAAGTACTAAATTTCGAAACAATCAGGGAAAGTGCGGCCCCAGGACTACTAATCCTGAGAAGTACTTCTCTTATGATGCGGACGGACTGGGGGGGGGACAAAGAAAAAACAAAAGTAAGAATTCTCTCATGCTCGATCTCTTTATTCAAGCCTGGAAGAGACCCCAGTCAGCCTGCAGTGCTGTGTGGTCCAACTGTATCTAACACAAAAGGACCAAACTGTTTTCCATTTACTTACTTGGTGTTGCTGGGTTCTGCGCTTCTGGCATTGCTTCCTCCCCCCCACCATACCCCCCCCCCCACGCCTCCCAAATGCATCTGATGCATGAGTAAACAAGAATAAAAGCATGCCGTTCAGGTCCCGTAGTTTGGTATCAGTTTAGGAGGCGCTTTCAAGACGCAGATGTGTTATGACGGGGTTGGGTATATGACCACAGCAGGGTCTAATGGGCCCCCATGGGTGTCTGACAGGCACAGACACAAAAAGATGCGGATTTGGACATTTCTAAATGTGGTGTGGGTCCACACTCTGATTTACTGTGCGGGAAGCACACTGAAGGAATGCCACAGGATAAATATCAGACCTTATAAGAATTTAAACATTCATAAATAATAAACAAAGGCTTTCCTTTGGTATTAGTCACTAGCACACAAGAACAGCGGGTGAGCACCCGACTAGATGAATCCACCGCTGCACCAAACCTCCAGAGCTCTGGACTTCCTGTTGTTTATAATCCTACTTACTCATCCAGGTCTTCAGGTTGTGCAAAATACAGTTTGAGTGATCAACACGGTCAAGCATTATGGTAAACACTCTACTGGTCTGACTGGGAGCAGAGCAGGTCTCCAGGGGTGCAGCATACAAGAATTCACCAATGCCACACATTAGTTCACAGACCACGTTCCAGAACCGCTCAAAA